TAGTTACTGTCATATTTGAGTATATTAAATGTTAAAACATTGACAATATCAAAAATTGGGAACCTTAGCTTGTACTTAGTTTTAAAACATATTGTTTAATGTGTAAAGCATTACTTAGTTTAAGTACATATGGTGTGATGTAGAAAATAAAGTTCAGTTGATTAATATAACTCAAATAAAGCAGTGGCGAAGAGGATTGTAAAAACAAAAAAAAATTGTTTTTATCTAAATGGACGTAGCTGCCATAAAGGAGTTGCTCAAACAGCAACAGGAATTCACAAACAAAATGCTGGAGGATCAGCGCGCATTTTTTAAACAAATATTATTAAAACACTGTATGTTAGATGTACAGAGTGTCAATGTGCCTGCATTTCATGCTTTTAATTAGCAGTTACATAAGTGGGAGACATATCTGGAGCAACTGCATCAACATTTTTCGGCTTACTCTGCAAAAAAAGTGTAACGACCCTATTTTTCCCTGAAAAAAAAATAAGGGTTACATAATACCACGCTGCCCTAACGTATTTATGCAAATAATAAAAATAAGCATGAGCAAAAATTGTAAACATGCAAAAACAAAACTTATACAAAAAAAAAAATGCATCACAACAGCAAGCCGTAAACGGCCAAGAACAATTCTGCACAGAGAAAAAAAAAAACAAAAAAAAAACTTAGAAAATAATAAGCATGGGCATAAATGGTAAACAAGTAAAAACAATACTTATATGAAAGAAAATGCAAACTTGAGGATAGCGGGATCAAAAGCGTCGACAAGATCGAATAAAAGGGGACAAAAATGTGAATTCGGTCTCTTTTTTTAAATATCAACCTCGAGTAGAGTGGACGTTTTTTTTATCATCCTAGAGCAGAGTGAACGTTTTTTTTAACATCATCTTAGAGCAGAGTGAACGTTTTTTTTTTTGAACATCATCCTAAAGCAGAGTGAACGTTTTTTTTTTAATATCAGTTGCGGATAACAGTTGCTGGACCATTGCGCGCCCAGGATACCGATCTGGGAGCTTTAAAAGTTGCCAGATAGAGAAATCTCATAGGAGGCTTCAAAAGTACCCTATGGGAAATCTCAGTGGAAGGTATGAACTGGCACGTGGCTTTGGCGGACACCAGAAGAAGCGAGGTACTGAAGAACTGAGCAGCCGAGAAAACGATAAGATATTGGTAAGCATTTTTAAATACTTTATATATTGGCGTCTTCGACATGTGCGTTGAATAAATATAAATACGTTAATACTTTATATTCCTGCGTCTTCGACTTGTGGTTCGAACAAATGCAAAATACGCTGGGGAATCGTAGTTATATTCCTGCGTCTTCGATCTGTGCTTTGACTAAATTAAATTTTTAAATACTTTATATATTGGCGACTTCGACATGTGCGTTGAATAATTATAAATATGTTAGTACTTTATATGCCTGCGTCTTCGACTTGTAGTTCGAACAAATGCAAAATACGCTGAGGAATCGTAGTTATATTCCTGTGTCTTCGATCTGTGCTTTGACTAAATTAAATTGTAAATACTTTATATATTTGCGTCTTCGACATGTGCGTTGAATAATTAAATTTTTAATGCTTTATATTTTTGCGTCTTCTACTTGTGGTTGAATAATTCTAAATACGTTAATACTTTATATTCCTGCGTCTCCGACTTGTGGTTCGAACAAATGCAAAATACGCTGAGGAATCGTAGTTATATTCCTGCGTCTTCGATTTGTGCTTTGACTAAATTAAATTTTAAATGCTTTATATATTTGCGTCTTCGACATGTGCGTTGAATAATTATAAATACGTTAATACTTTATATTCCTGCGTCTCCGACTTGTGGTTCGAACAAATGCAAAATACGCTGAGGAATCGTAGTTATATTCCTGCGTCTTCGATCTGTGCTTTGACTAAATTAAATTTTAAATGCTTTATATATTTGCGTCTTCGACATGTGCGTTGAATAATTATAAATACTTTAATACTTTATATTGTCCGACTTGTGGTTCGAACAAATGCAAAATACGCTGAGGAATCGTAGTTATATTCCTGCGTCTTCGATCTGTGCTTTGACTAAATTAAATTTTAAATACTTTATATATTTGCGTCTTCGACCTGTGCGTTGAATAATTATAAATACTTTAATACTTTATATTCCGGCGGGTTCGGAAATTGTTAATATTTTTTTTAAGAGTTATATTGCTCGTGTTCGATCTGTCTTTGATAATAAATTTAAGTTTTTTGTATATCTTTGTCTTGACCTATGTGTGGACTTGTATATATACATTCTATTTTTTATTTTTGGAAATTGTTAAGATTTTTTTTTAGAATTATATTGCTCAAGATAAAATCTCTATATGATAATAATAAAATAAAGTTTATTGTAAACTCTATGGTATTGAACTAGTATCTAGACTTGTATATATAAATTCTTTTTTTTTATTTATGAAGATTGTT